TCTAGCTGAAAAGAAATATATTATAGGAAATACTGTGAAAAAAAATCCTTGCTCTGTTAAACATTATTTGGGAAAAAGAAAAAAAAATTACTGGAGGGCTAATAATTTTGACTTAAATTGTACTGTATATCCAACTATCGCATAACAATCGAAATGCTTCTGGTATATCGGTAAAGCAGTGTTGATATTAACATATGAACATTCAAAGAAAATTATATCCTTCTACCCAATTTTCCTCTCTTTTGAAAGACGAAATTTAATGTTGCTTTGTTTCAGCTCAATGATGTGAACAGCACGAACAGCCAGGAAACATTTTTTGAGTCAATAGTCATAAAAATTCTAATGGACATTTAGTGGTCTATAAAGAAAGAGTGTCAAATTACTGCGGGTCCCAAATGCAGGGAGTCCATTATCGTTATTGCATTAAATAATAATGTAGATAATACGCTTCACTCAGGTGCACAAACCAAAGAACTTGAAAAAGAGTTTTCTGAAGGAACAATGGTTTAACTGTGCCTGACAAACAAGGTACTTTTGAACAACTTATTACTTAACAAAAAAAAAAGCTGTGGATCATTCAGGAAACAACACAAGTGATTTTTTTAAAATTATAAATTCAGCTATTATATTATATTGTACATACTGTAGGATTCACAGATTATTTTAATACATATCAAAATTGCAAAAGGTGTGCATTAGTTAAACTTGCTAGAACACTTTGCTATTAAAGCTAAGTTAGAAATGTGAGCGTTTCAATGTTGGAATGGTCTCTAAATTTTGCAGTGTTCACAATCATTATTTTTGTTATTATTTAAAAAAATTCAATAAAGATGATTTTCAAAAATAGATTTGGCACAATTTCGCAATGTCAAATTTTATAATTGACTGTAGTAACCACTTTGACACAGTAATATTGTTTAATTGCTGTGAATTTGCCACAAGTTTTACTGGCAAATTCAAAAATGTGCTGTTCTTCACACACAGTAGAATTATGCTTATTATGCTAACTGATTTTCTGAACCTCTCATTCCAGAAAATTGACAGAATTAATTTTCCTGTATTTTAAGGGTCTGATCACACGGACCAGTAATTTTTCTAGAAAGATACAGTAGGCTTATGTCTAAAAGGGCCTAATGTCAAGCAGAATTCAAGCTAATGTCTAGTGGAATATTACATTAATGAAACAATATTCATGTATCATCCATAAAATGTTATTACAACAACAATAAAAAACATTCCTAAAATTTTGCCTTATTAAAAGTAGGTATCAAGAAGAAACATGAATCCTAAGCTCAAAATAACATTTTGTGACATTGAGAGAACTTTAACATGTATATTTTCCCTAGGGGTGCTGTGTGTAAGTTTTTGACTCTTCTAAAGCATAAAAATACAATATGTTTGCAAATATTAAAGAAACATGTCAAAAAATAATGCTGAAGTCAATTTTTCTGCTTTGAAAATGTCTGTTATATGCCGGAAGGTCTGTCTTTGTTTTGGTCATTTAACCCACCCAATGCCAGTTTAGCCAATTATATTTCAACACCCCGGGTTGCCTTGGTGGAAACCGTATTTCATTCAATCATTCATTCAGAAAGGTTCTCAAAGCATGCGTCCGTGACCGAAATGCGACCTCTGGTGTACAGTAGCAAACTCCGAAATAAGACGCAGATGAGGTGGATATTAATTAGCAAATAATATAAATTTTACGAAGGTAAACATTAGGAGAGCAGGTTACATTTTAATCTTATGTCCTAACAACACGCTTTATGATGACGAGATATGCAGTGATAGGCAATTTGGCTGTTTGCACCTGATATAACAATCAGAAATTTAAATACAGCCATTCAGAAGCACAGAATATGCACTCAGTCACAAAATGGTAAGGTATTTATAATATAAGTAATGCATATTATACCTCTTTACCATTATTAAATGTACATGCTGAATCAATCATTTGTGTTTTATTTTGATGATCGATTTTATTTTCAAGATCTGAAGTGAACTAGCTGCTGCTGCTTTTAGTAGTGTGGCAATAAATGTCATGTAAAATGGCATTCAAACTCACATTGTTAGCATTTAACACTGAATAAAGCACATGAGGTTTATCTGAGGTGATCGTAGTCATTGCATCCTGATGTTCAGCTGCAAGAACTAGAAGCATTTTCTAATATATCAATTCAAGGTGTTGGTAAGAACAAAAACTAATTTTAATATGGTTTAATAACATTCCTTCTATCGCATGGCGTTGCTTTCATATAGAACACGATTAAAATCAGCCTTTAGGCTAGATAGTCAGACTCACTAGTGTTGGTCCTCAATCTGGCAACCTCGTCTTGCGTTTGTTTGGATTCATGCAATACCTAGTTCAACCACTGGGTGTCAAACTTGCATAATGCACCTTTAATTTTCCAAATCAATGTTTCTAGAATGTTGTATTTTAAACAAAATATATGTAAAAAAAATTGTTAAACAAAGCTGTTGGAAAAGAAAATCACCTTTTCCAAAGTAAAGTGTTAGAAGAACATCAGAACATAAAATTTTTTGGGATAACAGACATCGGACAAATGGTCACAAATGGTTTCCCTCGCTCTTCCATTAAAAGTAAGGCAGATGATCATCAGTCTTGACATGAACTGGACTTTACCTGGTTGAAAGAGCTTCTTGACACACAGCATTGCAACATGCGAAGAGGATGCTGTGACAGACTAATCACAATCAAGTATTCAAGAGACGGGTTTGATATTTCTGAGTATTAATGTTTGACATGTTGGAACAGTGGACTGAATCAGGAGGAACACAATTACTGAAGAGATACCTCCACTTTTACGTCCTAAAAGCAGGTCTATTCTGAGCTTCTGCTGGTTTTGATCTTGGACTGAAAGCACTTGAAGTCGCTGTTCATCAGAGAGCGGCATCCGGCTAATTCTTCTCAAGACGTGTTTGCCTAAAAAGAGGGAAAAGCTTTTCATTTCGCTAAGAAGCAGATATTATTTCTCTTGCATTCAGGAGCTAGAGAGCTGTAGATGAACGCTCCCACACACAAGGGCTTTAAAAGCCAATATCTGCTGTGTCGTTGCTGAGCAACCAATTATCCAAGATGTGCACTTCCTCTTTGAACGCTGTTTGCTAATAAATGTTATGAATATATTTTTTATTCTAGAGCTGAAGTATGTCATGTTGAAGGCATTTGCGCCATTGACATCAGAGAATTTGAATGCTGCAAAGCCGAATTAATTATCAACCGTCTGATAAAGTCAGAAATTAAAAGACAGGCATTTTGTTGGTGTAAACTGATGCTAGACCTCGCTCTGCCTCCATGCTGTGCTCAGCTGGAACAACACAGAAAAAGGCGAATGGGTGTAAAGAACATTGCTGACACTTTCTCCATTCAAAGACACTTAAGTTTTGATTAGAGAGAAGAAAAAGAAGGCAAGATATTCTGCGGTCTCATCATCTGCTACTGCGGAAAGCAATTCATGCCTCTGGGAACTACTAGGACAGTCTGTTTATGTGCCCACATATATTATTGAATAAGACTTGGTGTGAGGAAACAGTACTGAAATGAACACCAAATAATAGTTATTTGGCCCAAAATAGGGCCAGATGCACACGGCGCGGGGGATTTGTTCTGAACTGGATGTCAGCACTTGCAATGTTCGATGGCAAAGGTGCTTGTTTATGTTGTAAGGTTTTAACCGATGACCTTTCAGACAGTCTCCATGCAAATGTTGGCTGTAAATACAGTACGTACTCCTGAATAAGCCTCGGGTAGGAGAGTAAAGAGCAAGACCGTGACCAAAAAACAGCAACAGAGCTTTAGGGTCACATGAGTTTTAATATTATCTATATAAACTGTAGTACTATAGTTTAATATTTGTTTGTTTGTACAGTTAAAAGTAAAAAAATTATTAGCCCTCCAGTGAAATTTGTATTCTTTTAAAACCATTTTCCAGTGTTTAATGAAGCAAGGAAAGTTTCACAGTATTTCCTATTCTATTGATTTCTTCTGGAGAAACTGTGTTTCTTTTAGTTTGGCTGGAATGCAGATTTTATTTTTTTAAACAATTTTTAAGATCAATATTGTTAGCCCCCTTAAATTATGTTATCCAATAATCTACCTATTTAACCAAGATTGCCTGGTTAACCTAGTCATGCCTTTAAAATGCACTTTAAGCTGATGAGTAGTACCTTGCAAAATTACTAAATAAATATTGTGTACTGTCATCATGCCAAAATAAAAAATATATTTTTTATTTAGAAGTGAACTGTTATGTTGACAAAAACTCCATTAAATAGCACTTGAGAAATATTTGTAAAATAATTACAATTTGACAGAAGGGCTACTAAAGGGCTACTAGTCTTCAACTGTATATATACACCAGAGATGGGGGACTCGAGTCACATGACTTGACTCGAGTCAGACTTAAGTCGCAAAATTTAGGACTTGCTTGACAAACACCCAAAAAAAGACTCGACTTGACTGTTAAATTACCCGAAATAACTTGCTTTTGTTGAATACAAAATCACCCCAACCCCCACCCACCCCCATATTGTGCACTATAAGATTATGGTCTTGTTTAATTAATAGTATGATTTTTTAATGGCTTTGAAGTAAGCACACACATTCCCCAGAGCAGAAAGCTACATGATTCACTAATGATGAAAGTGTAAATTCAAATTACAGTATATATATATATATATATATATATATATATATATATATATATATATATATATATATATATATATATACATATATATATATATATATATATATATATATATACACCATTGCAAAAAAATTTGCAGAATATTGAAAAATCAACAAAAAATTGATTGACTTGAAAGTGACTTGCTAGACCAAGCTACGACTAGACATGAAAGAAGCAGTGACTTGACTTGACTTGAGTGCAACAAAAATTGACTTGAGTTATGACTTGAGACTCGCCTCGTACATGTTTGACTTACTCCCATCTAAAATGATCAATATACAACAGATGTTATTGGAGTAAATTCATTATGAGAAACTTTATTAACAAATAAAAGGCAAAGCACAGCTTAAGTTCACCCCTAGATATGCATCAAAAGCTAAGTGCCACAACATTATCATGTACTTTTAATATTAAAATACAGCCTCCACTAAGTGACAGCATTATGTATTTCTATAGGCTTCGGCAACACAAATAGCAGCTAAAACTCTTTAAATAGGCATAAATAGTCAACAGTAGACAACATGCTTCTTCTCCTGCACCAGAGCTCCTTCTAGTGGTCATTCAACTCTGATTGCAAGCTCAGCCTCTAACCCTCAGACAATCCCCATAATTACACCCGGGCAAGAGGCAAAACTGACTCTGGACCAGCACGTAATGGAAAACCTAATGATACAGTACACAATACAGGCAAACAGACAGCAGAGAATTAGGCACAGCAGTGCTGCCCTCTAGTGGGCAGGAGTTTACAGTGAGGGCTCAGATCAGACTAAGCCAGCACCCATTGAAGAATGCTGGTGTCCTTCCCACCGGTAGAAATAAGATGACTGTCGTCATGCAGAAAGGCAACATTGGTCACATGGCTGCTGTGCCCACCATAGATGTGGCTGGGAGCCTGCAGATAAAAATATATAGAATTATTAATTTTTAATTTAAATGGCAAATATAACAATGGTCAATACAGGTCAATAAAACCAAAAGCATGAGACTAAAGTGTGTTACTTCAAATGAAATAAACATTAGCTATTTTTACAAATATAGATAAAAAAAGGTTTGTTGCTAAAGCCTAGTCTAAAAGTTTCAAGTAGGTCTAAAAGCCTGAAGTTTTAATCGCTTGGTTAAAATCTAGATAGGATGCATGGCTGGTCGGAAGTGTGATATGCACATCAATATAGAAGCATTTTTATGACACTGTATAAAAATAATTCATATTTTTACAGTACTGTGATGGTTGGAAAGGGGGGAGACGTTAAAAAATACATTTTATTGGGTAATTTAATAGATAACATAAATAATACTCGGTACAACTACTGTTTTTACACTACTGTGACAGTTGGGTTTAGAGTTGAAATGGGGTTAGACGTTAAATAATACAATTAATGGGACATTTACTAAATAATACAAATCATTTTTGATAACTTCCTGCCGCAACTATATCTGATATAGCAGCAACCACTATGGAAGGACAGATTCTAGTTGGTTACTAGTGGTCTCTGAGCTGTTGCTTGAAAGTGTTACTATGCAGTTACCATTATTCTGGTTGGTTGCAAGGCTGTTGGGGTCAGGGTCAGGTGTTGTAAGGATTTTCTGACTAATTGTTTTAGTAAAACAAATAAATGGAACTTATTTTAGTTGAACTAGAAATCTTTAACTAAAACCCAAAAGAAATCTGAAAATCTACATAAAAAAGTATTATTTATACCACAACAATATTTAAAGTACAATAGTTATGATACTAAAGCAAAACAACTTACCCTTGGTTGAGAACAGGGGTTAGAAAACAAGTGCACTTTGCCAAAATCATCAGCGGAGGCAAGGAGGTTTTTGTCATGTGACCTGCATACAGCATTAATATCTGTTCCATCAGCACCGTCTGGCCAGATTCCTTCAAACAAAATAAAACAAACATCAAAGTTATTAATTGAATTAAATATTTATTTTTACATATATAACAATAGAAATCAAACAACAACAAAGACTAGTACAAACAAACCAATAATTTAATAACATTTTGAAAACATTAATTCAGCATTTCATAGTCATTTTCACTGAAATAAGCAAAAAATAATCATTTTAATTTTAAATAATATTCAGTTCAATTTAATGGGCCATTTTTTATTTTAATTTTATTCACAGTATTTTTAGAGAATCACAGCTCGCCTGCTTTTCCTGATGACGCTTGTGTTTAAATGGTCTTTTGATCTTGTTTTACGCTTTAACAACTAAATGAATGCTGAAGTCTATTAAACTGATTATATTTTAATTAAATGACATTATCGCTGCTGTAAAACAGGTGTGTCCAAACTCGGTCCTGGAGGGGCGGTGTCCTGGAGAGTTTAGCTCCAACCCCAATCAATCACGTCTGAACCAGCTAATCAAGCTCCTACTAGATATACTAAAAACTTCCTGGCAGGTGTGTCGAAGCAAGTTGGAGCTAAACTCAGCAGGATACCGGCCCTCCAGGACCGAGTTTGAACACCGCTGCTGTAAAAGGAACCTTATGAAATTGAAAATAGTCACATTCACCTTCACCGGATGTTTATCAGTGGCTGAAAAAAACTTGATGTGCACAAAGGCTATTCAAGTTCATTTGTATAAACCTTTTTACAATAATTATTTAAAAGCAGCTTTACAAAATGTTAACATTATTTTATTACAATCCAAACCAGGAGTCAAGTTGTTGAGTACAGTATATGGTGGGCAGTACAGTGAACAAAAATGTACACAGTTAACCTGCAGTTATACAATTTAAAGTGTACTATCAATAAAGTGATACCTACAGTATGTATACAATACACATTCAATATGACTTACCAAACACACTGAAACCCAGCACACAGGTTGAGGTGGCCCACTCCAGATTACGTACTATATCATTATTAGTAATATGCTTCCCACTGGATGCCTCCCCTTTTGAACAGGAAAAATGGGATGAGCAAAACAATGACATCGGAGCTCCATTCACTAACAGCATTGCAGAGCTGACAAAACTACTCACAGTATAAGATCTCATAGTCGCCTGAGTTGGTTACAATAAACTGGCTGTCGGTGGACCAGTCGAGATGAGTGACAAAGCTGGAGTGTCCCTGCAGATACAGGTCATGGTATTAAACAACTTTTTGATGGCTAACTATTTACAGTTTAAAAAACAGATTTATGAAGGGTTGATAAATGAACAGAACTCACAGTGCATTTGCCAACACGGCTGTATTTCTTGCCATTTTCAGTAACAGAGTAGATGTAAACAAAGTTATCGTGGGATCCTACAGCCAGGTACGCCCCATCTGTGGACAGATAGGATGTGAGTGAGGATTATGGACATATTTAATTACATTAAACACTGGGGTAACAAAGATCTGCTGGAAGGAGACATGTTTCTGACACTTGTACAGAACACACGTTATGATTTTGTGAAGTACGATACAATCCTGGATTAACATCTATGTTGATTCTGGAACATGTAAATCCTAAAAATGTAGTCCACCCCTAAACCCAAGCACAACTGTAAAATCTTCCCAAAATCAAAGGGGAATAGTTAAAAAACACTCATGAAGAAATGCATAAACCTAACCGTAAGCCTAAACTTAACATACAGAAAAAGGTAAACGTATCTTTTAATTCTGATCGGCTGATAGGAATGTTGTTCCAGGATCAACATAAATGTTAAACCAGGAACATGTCCTCCATGGTTAAATCAGGTTGGCATGTATTGAACTGTAATGTGCAAAACTGCAGCTAAGAGAAGAAAAACGGTTGATGTTTAAATCACAAATAAATTATGGTCAGATTTTGTAACATGCTGTTGTGGGTTAATTAAGATGTATTTGGTTTGTGATGTTCATTTTTCAATCAAAGCACACCAGAGATCCATCTTTCTGAGACTTTTATGACAAGAAAAAGATCAACTAAAAATGAGAAAATGACACACCTGGAGAATATTTGACAACAGAGATGATTTCATTGCCATCTGTATGCATAGAGACGAGATCACGTGTGTCAGTGTCCAGCACCAACCACCTGCAAGATGGCAAAATAGACAAGTTTGATTAAAAAAATAGCTTTTACTTGAACATATCTAATGCGTGGTCTATGGTTTAGAGGTGATAAATACTTGAAATGAGATATAAAGCATGAATGCATGATGAAATTTTTATGTCAAACATACTTTGCTGTCATGGTTCCCACAGCAACCACTGTGCCACTGGGATGAAATCCAACAGAACGTGCAGGGTCCTAAAATAATTGTAAACATATTTTTAAAAATAAATCAATCAATAAGCACATTTTTAAAACAATTATTACATTTTTAAAATAAATATAACTAAACGTTTTAAACATATGCTATATATTTTAATAAATATGAATCAACAAATATATATTTTTAAGCTGTAAAAATAACTTTACTTAATTAATTTTAAAATATTATAATTTGTAACAAATATGCACAAAAAACATTGCAAAAATTTTTAAAGCTATTATTTGCCCTTAAAAGTACAAACTTAACAATGGGATCATTGATTATGTTTACTCATTACTGTAATGAAAATGTGAACAGACAGTTCAGACAGACCTCAATGGCCTTGGTCCACAGAGGCAGATGGGAGCAGGTGTCCCACAGACAGACCTGCTTGTCTTGACCACATGTCACAAACTGCTCAGTGCTGGGATGAACATCTAAACCCCACAGCTCATCAGTGTGACCCTTTACAGAGAAAGCAGAGTAAGAATCACTTTAATTCTAAATAAATACAGTAGTTTTTTTAGAATAGTACAATACTGTAAAAATGTCTTGATGTCTTTTTTTAAATAAACAAATAAAAACATTAATATTTTGCTAAGTGTGTTTTTGTGTTGGCAACTTGACCAAACCAGCCAGCAGGTGGCACAAGTCCCTGTCTGAACCGATAATAAATGATTCTTTCAGAAAATGTGTGGCTGTCTTTTTGAATGGACCATTGAATCCCAGATGATTTTGACCCCTTGATTTGTTCAAAAGTAGATTTATTCAGGAACAATATAGGATGCTGCTTTGAGATGCACAAATGTTCTTCTCCAGGTTTACTTGGAATTAATTTAATTGTCAAAAACAGAAAAAAAGACAAAACGAAATATTAAATTTGTACTTTTGCCAAAAATGTGGACCAAAAATGTGTACTCTTGCATGTGCGATATTACTTAACTATATTGTGTTAAAAATATACAAAAAGAAAATTACATAAATGGATATTTTTGCTTTTATAATGGTGATGATGATGATAGGTTATTATTGCTGCATTATATAAGGCTCTATGCAGTAAACACCTTTGGACTTGAGATGTACTGTATTATTTTTGTTTGTATTTTTTGCAAAATGATTGAAATACTTAATGTCAGGTTGCACATGAATAATTCTGTCACGCAGTATTGATGTATAATCTATTTTAGACATGTTAGGGTTAACCCTAATAACTAATAACTCGCATAACAGCTAGTAGCCTTGTTTAAGCATGATCCCCTACTGTTTGAATCTGTGTTTTTTGGCAGTATAGTCATCTAAAAACAGGATACCTAAACACAAAATACTATCAATTGACAACCTGTACCTGAACAATAGGGGTGAGAGAACCAGAGAAAGATCCCCGTAGAACAGCATTTTTAGTTGTTCCTACAAACAATTCATCCTGTTTTCCTTCAGCAAGAGTGCGGACAGGGCCAAACGCCTCAGGAACCTGATTATAGAGAAAATATGCTGAAGAACATGTAATCTGTACATCTGAGCTAAAACATGATTTGTATAAATCGTTTTCAATTTAATGAAGTGAGTGCTGATGTAGTAGGATCTAATAAATATGACAAACACAACGCCTGGATTACATTTCATAAAATCAAAACAATAAAAGCTGTATTTTAGTGTATATGGCAATCTGCAAAAAAATAAAAATAAAATCTAAATCTATTTAATTTTTACTGAATTTTATTAGAAAAGTTATAAATTTTTACTAAGGTAAAGAAACAAAAATCAGCCTTACCTCCATCTCGCTCTTCTTGCGGTAATCATGGTCCCACAGCAGAACCTTGCGGTCTTTCCCTCCTCCAGAAACTAGTGTCCCATCCTTCAGCACACATAGAGAGAAGATGCCACCCTCATGAGCTCCTGAAACCACCTTGCTGATCCGGTTTCCACCTTTTAATAAGAGTTTACTATCAAAACACTGGCACACTATAACGGAAAATATTCACCAACAGCAGTCAAACTGATGAATGTGCATGTTTTTTTTCCTTTAACTAAACTGATTAAACTATTTAGAGCTAAAATATAGCATTTGGAAACGCATTCATAAAAAAATATATTAAATTTAAATATAAATATATAATAGCATAATTATTTCCTGACCTTTAGCCCAGATGTAGATGTTCCCGCTTGAATCTCCTGTAATTGCATCTCCATTCTCAGCAAAAGCAATGCAGAGTACATACTTGGGTTTTTCATGTTTCTGAAAGCAGCACAAACATAACCACAAATCAATAAAACCAAATTAAGTCACGGTAAGGTAATAAACTCAAATATATCATCCTATGCTGTCTTTGTATTGAAATAATTAGAAATGTACAATCCAGCTCTAAACAAATGATAAAATATAACACTAATACTATACAACACTTTATCCACAGGCAATAAACTCGATGCTATCACTATGCTGACTTTGTATTTCAGTTGGAAAAATGAAAAAGTAAATCTCGCAAACCTCAAACAGTCCTTGGCGTTTAGTGAGAGTACTTCCTTCCACTGTCCAAAAGTTGATGTGAGACTTCCCGCAGGTGACAATAAGATTTGCCTCCATAGGGTGGAAGACAGCACCCAAAACAGAGTCATTAGAGCACTGCAAAATAACACAAAAGACACTAAATAAGAGGCATTCTTACTTTGTCATGAATAGTTGCAAATTTCTTACTATGTCCCATTATTACCATAGCACATTATTACAATGGTCATACACATGTTTAGATTTTAGAAATGTATTCGATTGTAAACCTAAAAAAAGGGTTTGTTAAATAATAAAATTAAGCTTGGTCGTAAAAAAGAAATGGATTTTAAAAAGAAGACAGATTGGTGACGAGGCATTGGTTGAAATACTGTAAGATTCTGACAAATTTCTGCTCTAAAATAAGTTATTTTTTAATCTCAGGGTGAATAACAACAACTTTTCCCCCACATTGAACATAATATGTTTTAGTTTAAGAAACATTTATAATATTTTAAAGCAGTAAACATGTCAGGGTAAAATATAAAAATAAATCATTGACTTCTGCTGTCTTCATTAGTTTCAAAAACACACTTCTTTACAACTTGATAAGGAATCTTTGAGATCTTTCTTTTCTATGGATACAAAGCAGCTCTATAGCATGCTTGGATGTTATATTAGAAGCGATTTGTTTTTAAGATGTTTGCTGAATCAAGAGCTGACCAGTAACTTTTGATGTCCCTTTCTGCTGGAGATACTGTTTACCTTAAAAAAAAAAAAAAAAAAAAAAAAAAAATTTTAAATAATAAAAAACTTTAGTAATGGGATAAAAGAACATTTTAGCAGTTCTTAATCCTTGACTTTTACAAACCACAGTAAATCTTGAAACCGGTTATCTTCCCATGGCTATTAGTGACATTAGGAATGTAATTTCATAATCTCAATAACAAGTCATTTCAAGATTAAGTAGACAAACACGGCATCTTCCCAATGAAAATGACCAAAAAGCATCATGGTGGTGTACACTAGTGGCCAGGGTTTTACATACTGTACAGGTCTCTGTTATTAAAGTATGGAGTCAATCTAGGACCATACAGGTATATACTTGCAAAATAAAAAAAAAGTTTTGCAAACAAAAAATAAAGTACTGAGTAAAGATAAATAAAATGCAAATCTCCAAAAATGCAAAAGCAAAAACTATTTTTTGAGGAATAAAAATAAAATTTTGCTAACAAAAACAAAACTGCAAAGGAAGAATTAAGTTTTAAGTAATGAAAGTGAAATTAGCAAAAAAAAAAAAAAAGAAAAAAAAAAGAACTGCAAATAAAAATCAAGCAGTGCACAAAAAATAAAATAAAATAATATATGTATGTATGTATGTGTGTGTGTATGTATGCATGTATGTATATACACACACACACACACACACACACACACACACACACACACACACACACACACACACACACACACACACACACACACACACACACACACACACACACACACACACACACACACACACACACACACACACACAGTTGACTAAAAAGCCAATTAAAATGAGCATTGAAATCGACTGGAGAGGTTTTGTAAAGGCAATGCTATAAAAATGTTTTGCAAATTTATATAGTTTTGTTATTGCAAATATTTTAGTTTTTTTTGGCACTGCTTTTGTTTGTAAATATCATTTTTTATTTTTTAACTTAATTTTCCTTTTGCAGTTCTTTTTTTTTTTTTTTTTTTAGGAAAATATATTTTTCTCAAATATATTTTTGGAGATTTGCATTTATTTATTTATTTATTTATTTTTGCTCAATACTTTATTTTATATTTGCAAAACTTTTATTTTGCAAGTATACTGTATATGGCCCTAGACTGACTACATATAAAGCCATAACCACACTGTGCAAAGAAATTGCAAAACATATTGCAAAATTGCAAAGTAAGCCTAATGTTTTGTGTTAACTGCTTTCAAACTATTACTGTTAAAGATAGAATTATTAGTCCTGTGAAATTTACTTTGTTTTATTTTAATATTTCCCAAGTAATGTTTAGAAGAGATTTTTCCCCAACACATTTTAAATGTAATAGTTTGCATAACTTATTTCTAATAATCAATTTCTGTTGTTTTGCCATGATGACGGTGCATAATATTGTACGAGTTATTTTACAAAATACTAGTTTTCAGCTTCAAGTGCAATTTAAAGGCTTAATTAGGCCAATTAGATTAACTAGGCAAGATAGGTAAATTAGACAGTGGTTTGATCTGTAGCCAAACAAATAATATATATACTGTTAAAAAATATAAAGGGAACACTTAAAATTACATTGTTTTGTTGTAACAAAATAATAAAGTGTACCCTTAATTTTTTTAGAAGTGTACTGTATATTATGGTAGTGTTGTCAAATTAACCTTAACATTATTTAAAACAATTTTTAATAATTGTTTTTATTTCAGCAAAACTACAGTAATTTAAGTGACAGTATTTAAGCTAATAATATATTTTTTAAATCTAATAAAATAATAAATTATATTACACACACACACACGCACACACGCACACACGCACACACGCACACACGCACACACACACACACACACACACACACACACACACACACACACACACACACACACACACACACACACACACACCAAATTAAAAGAAACTAAATACTGTGGAAAAAATATAGATTTCCTTCCTGGGCCTGTTAAACATCACTTTGTAAATATTTGAAAAAGAATCAATTTTAAAGGAAGGCTAATAATTTGTTCTTCAACTATATGTCACCTCACCTTAACCTCGGCAAGCTGCTTTTCTTTCTGCCAGTCCCAAACTGACAAAATGTGATCATTTGCATCGTCAACCGCACACAAATGAGCTCCACCATTCTGTGAAGAGGAGTGGTATTATTTCCATGTAAAACACCATTGTTAATTCAGCCATTCATCACATGTTCATTATGTTATACCCATTGTGCACTATTCCCCATATGCAGCATGGCAGCAAACCACACGGATGATTTATTAAAAAACCACTATATAAAAGTTAGCTTACCGACTTTGAGAAGGCAACACAGGTGACAGCTCGGTCGAACACACCTGCTCCAATCACATGAAGAGTGTTCAGACTGACAGAGTCCCAGACACGGACATGAGGTGGCAGAGCCTGATGGGAAAACAACGATTGAGTTGTGTGTACTGTTAAGGATTTATGTATTTTTAAAATGGAATTGAAACACTGAATGAATCATTTATGTAATTCCACAAAAGAAAGTAGTAAATTCATATTTACACCATGTGTGAATGGTTATAGTCTTGCATTTTTTTGCCAGAATAGACTAATGTTTATGCGACTAATGATTTTGTAAATGTTTAAAAATATATATGTATATACAATTGAAGACAGAATTGAAGACCCCTACCCCCCATCCCAATTTCTTTTTAAACTATTTCTCAAATAATGTTTAACAGAGCAAGAAAATTTTCACGTTTTTTTATGTCATGAAAATATTTTTTCTTCTAGAGAAAGTCTTATTTGTTTTATTTCATCTAACAGCCATTTTAGGGTCAAAATTATTAAAGGATGGCTAATAATTCTGACTTCAACTGTATGTGTGTGTATGTGTACAAATATTGTTTTATATCTGGGATGGAATTTTGGATTTTATTAATAGCTAGAAGTTTTTTTATTTGAGTTATTTACTATATCTTATTAAACCAAATGATTAGTAATATTATGAAAGTAATATTAATTTACCATGTAAAATGTTGATGTTTTATATAATTAAATGTATTGTAATATGTACTTTACTTATGTGGTAAAGCAGAATTATTAACAGCCAATATTTCATTGTCACCTTATCCTTCAAAAATCATTCTAATATACTTTGTTTTGTGCACATTTCATTTTATTAATTGAAAAAAATAAATTTAATTAATTTAATAAAACTAAATATGATTAATATACTTATATATATAAAGATTTAAGAAATTATATTATATTTATTAATAATTATTTTATAAACATTTTAACAAATATTTTATTTATTGAATGTTTAATAAATTAAAAGCATAATTGTTTAATGAAATTTAATATTCCTGTATTATTATCAGTTTAAGAGCCTTTGATGAAAAACAGAAAGCCCAAATAATAAAATTTAGTGTTTAATAACATTATCATCATATTTCTGTCACTTTTGATCAATTCAATGCATCCAAAAAAATAAAAAATTCAGCACACATGCCACAGAATGCAAATGTGAACAAACTTTGCCATCTTTGGATGTTCCGGCAACTTGTCCTGTTGCTATAGTGACCATGTCTGGATGGATGGCCAAACTGCAAAGAGAACATTGACAGGATCAGAGCTTGTCAGAAAAGATTTCCCATTCCACTCTCTCGCTCTCAGGGAACAGCAAATGAATGCAGTTCAGTCCCCCAAAAAAAGCAGTAAACAGACAGTTTTGCAAACCAGCACGGACTCTTACAGTCAAAGGGAGAAAGAGCATTCCAGTGTTATTTTAATTAGCAACAAATGATAATTAGCTAATATTTTATATATACAAATACCATGTTCACATTCTGTTGCAGCAGAATTTTATTTAAAATAAAAATTTATTTCTCAAATACACAGCCATACACTGTAAAATGTGCAATGAAATGCTTATACTGTACAACTGCCTGTGACCTTATAAAAAGAATATAATTCATTCATTCATTCATTCACTTTTCGGCTTAGTCCTTTTATTATTCTGGGGTTGCCACAACGAAATGATCCACCAACTTATTCAGCAAATGGTTTTACGCAGCGGCCTTACCTTCCAGCCGCAACCCATCTCTGGGAAACATCCATACACACTCATACAGGGACAATTTAGCCTACACAATTCACCTTTAACGCACGTCTTTGGATCGTGGGGGAAACCCACACGATCACAGGGAGAACATGCAAACTACACATAGAAACGCCAACTGACCCAGCCGAGGCTCAAACCAGCGACTAACTTGCTGTGAGGCGACAGCACTACCTACTGCGCCACCACATCGCCAACGAACATAATAGCAATAAAAAATCTAAATTCTGGACTTTAATAAGTAGTTTAAAAACAGACAATTTTAGATATAGAAATAGATAGTTATAGCAATAAAAAATAAAAACAAATATAACATTTAAACTATATACTTTAGATAATGTGGTGGACAAATTCATTTAATTAATACGAAGACTTTGATTTCTATAAAACTTCTCTTTCTTACTAAAAAACATAAAGAATAGCTTCTCATTTATTAAGAAACATATGCCTTCCTAAAGATTATATATAAAAAATATATATATTACTAGAAGGGTCAATCAGAAGGTGGTCATCTGCTTATGTTTATGCATTCAAAAAGTGTAAATCCTGGCTCTAAAATCTAATGCTCTAAAGAGAACTGATTGTCAACTGTGACGAAGTGGGCCTTGAAGAAGGGGAAAGAAGATAAAACCTGGTATCTGGCTAGCCAGTGGGTCTAGCCTGATCTCACGAGGAAACATAACTATTTTACGTTTTGTCAGATTAGTGGCTAATGCGTAAGAATTCGTACGAGTTCAGTCGCACAAAAATGTACGAGGAGGCGTGGCACCCAACCCCATCCCTAACCACAACTGTCAGTGGGTGATGAGCAAATTGACTAAATTGTACGAATTAGATCTTACAAGTACCCTACAGGTGTTTTGTCAAGCCCACTCACCTCTCAGAGAACTACAACAAATAACCTAGCAACTGTTAATAGTACAAGCATTTGATATCAGGCTATAAAGCAAAGAAAAAACAAGGCAGACGAGATCTAGTTTGATTGCATGTTTATTTGAATAAACTGCAGGATTCGCTTATCTTGCAGATAAGAGCCTGTTAAGGGGGGTTAGAGCTGTCCCTAACAATGCAAATTTGCTCAGAAACCAGCAACACTTCCCCAATACAATGCCTCTTTTTGCTTAAAGACTGGCACAATATATTTGTTCATGTAGATGATCACATTGATAACATCTCCTGAACAATGACCTAGTTTGAGAATAATCTGCATATGAAATCGGAAGTGTTTTTTTGTGCTTCAACATTGGATTGATTTCTCTTCTGCTGTTGTTTAACTATTTGGTCAAAAACACAAAGGGCTCTCTTAAATGAGTATTGCATGAACTTAATGAAAACAATATATTTACCACTTGACATCATCGTTGTGGCCCAGATAGTGCCTTTGTTGCTGCTCTTCAACGTTGTAAAGCACCACTACGGAAGCATTAAAGTACACAATCTCTCCAGTCGGCAGCAGGTAGAGGTTAGAGCGACAGTCTCTTCCCCTATAGCCATAACTAATGGAGTGTGTTAAGAAACAAAAAGGTTGAACTGCAGACCAAACACTGTAAAAAATGCTTTTCTTACATGTATTTTTTTGTCTTATTTATAGTTCAAATATTTAAAAACTTTTAAAATCAAGAAGCATTGTCTAAACAAGCAAAAAAAAAAAGTATCTTGTTTTAAGAAATAGTATGCCAATATTAAGTGAGTTTTTACTTAAAACAAGCAAAATCATCTGCCAATAAGGTAGGCAAATAATCTCCTTTTTCTTTTTGACTTATTTGACTTATTTAATTAAAAAAAAAAAAAAAAAAAAAAATATATATATATATATATATATATATATATTTTTTTTAATATATACACATTTATTTTTATAAATATTGCTATGTAAATGGCAAGGATACACCCATTGAAGTTTCAGCTTGCGCTCCGGCAGCGCCACCTTGCTTTCAAGACTGTAGCTGTACCTCAGCTGGTCTGGAATATGCATGGTGATCGGACGTCCACGTAAAAACATCCGAACGTAACCCTCATCTGTTCAAGACAAACATGAGCGGCCACAGAAAAACATGCTTTGTTAAGGATGATTTGTCAAATTATCCTGACCCTACTGACAGAGCCTAGAAACCAACTGTCTTGCCCATTACAGAATGAGACTGAATGGAGGCATTACGCCAATCCATAATGGTTTCTATGTTTAATGCAGAAGATAATGGGATCGGTAAAGGCTCATATATAACAGTAATTTCCCATAACACACGGCTCAGTTTCTTACCATAAAACCAGCTTCTGCTGTAGTCAAATATCACATGCATTTAGATAAAAAACATGCAAAAAATAAAATAAAATTTTAAAAATCACCCACAGAGCCCTACTATGTCTTTTTGTTTTAAGAATAAACTAATCAATCAAAAAATTTAAACTTACCAGCATTGAAGGAGCACTCTTTGGTTTTGCTGAAAAACAAAACAAAAGAGAGAGAAACACATCATTTATTTTTATCATCACAAAAAAAAAAAAAAAAAAAAAACAGTCAGAAACCGCACCAATAGTAAACAAAAATTTTTAGAAAACATTTGTAAAAAGTTTGTTTGCCGTCTTGGACTAGTGTTTTTGTGAGAGGATGACTAATTCATTGAGCTCATCCATTGATTCTGACCCAGCTTTCATGTGGCCTTTGATAGCACTGTGTGCAATGAAGAGAACACTGAGCTAAAGCGACAGGAGGCCAAAACTGCTTTCAACTTTAGTTACAGAGTCTGTTTACATGAGCAAACATTTGGTGGGGAGCCAGAATTGGCGTGGATTTTGCTTTGAAAACATTTCCACAAAATAGCTTTAAACATGCAGGCATTGAAAATAATGTCTGTTTGTGCGCGCGTTTAAGCAATTGCTTTACCAAACCACACAGTTTCCCACTTCCCATATGCTGATGCATGACTGTCATGGCTGACAGGCTGTCTCAGACAAGCTAAACGTGGTAAATTAGACCCATCAATCCAGCAGTATTTGCTGGAATAGGTTTGTGTCACTCCAGTTATCCACATGGGAATCAGGATGGACGGCACACTGTTTCTGGCTGGAAAACTGGACATTTCTGTACAGTAGTTAGAGGGCATAATAAACAGTTGATGTGTAAAGGGGAAAAAATTGGGTGATACTGAACAGAAACGATCTACACTTTTCTGTTTGCGTACTGTACACACAGTCATTAAAGCTTGAAAGTGGGCCACACCAAAACAAGCATCACATCTAATAACCGTTTTACAGAGTGATCAAAAGCATGCAATGTATTATAAAGGCAGTATATATAAAATATATATGTTCTTTATGTATACAGTGTACACCACAAATTATATTTTGGTATTTGTTTTATAACTTGTAGTGTGATATTTACATGGATTTCTATACACAGGCATACTGTTAAATGTAAACCAAGACAACATCTTTCATTTACAATAATTAGTTTTATCTAATGGCACACAATATGGCAGCTGTCCATGCAAACATTTTTTCATAAGCACATCCTGGAAAAATCCATTTAACAAGCTTAAGACTTTAGGCTGTGTAGCATCCAAACTCAATATACTGCTGTGAGTATGAAGCACTAATGTGCTTGACCTAAAAGAAGCTCTATACTAATGCACCGACTATGTACAGTACACACCCATCCTTAGAACACTTGGTACAGTTGACAAGCTACAATTTGACAATTCATGGATTCATAAAAAGATGCCATAAATACATGCAATTCAATACAAAATAAACTGAATCTCTAAAAGCTACCGTTAAAGTCGTATGTGATGTCCTTCATAGCATTTTATTTCCTATTGTAGAAATTACTCTAATTTGACTGCATTGTTTGTGCGTATGTGTGTGTGTTCCATGTTTAATACATACAGCTGAAAAGCAACAAAAATCAATATCTGACTCAGATTGCTAGATAAGCATTTAGTAATGCACTAAAGCAATTAGTAAAACATGCATTATATACAGCATGCCTTCAACTTGAATGGAAGTTGAAAAGATAATCATCTGTCATGCTAATGAGTTTAAAAGAAATAACGGCTCCAAGGCAGTTGGAAACATGCACATTTTTGCTAAATGACGTTGCATAAACTGCCCCTACAAACAAACAAACAAAACCAAAGGCTTTCACCTCAAATTAAAAATCATCCTTAAACAGTCATCTGATTCATCTCTACTTGTAAAGTTTGCTTCTTTTTCTTTTATTCCCATTTGTAAAATTACATCACTAACTCAACCCAGGTGTGTTCGCTTTGCTTATCTATAGAAGCCATGATGCTGCTTGTCTACCTATGTTTGCTTTGTTATTGGAAGTTGAAACTAGTTCCATTCTCAGCCTCACCCAACCCACAGTTTGTGATTTGAAGAGCCTAACAAGAGCGTGAACGTTACCTGGTTGACTTCTTCATGTTGCTTTTCCTGTTATTTCCTTTAACTACTAGCTGGAATTTGCAGAGGCGTCAAGCAGAAGACTGAGTTCCTTGTTTGAGTAAACTTCAGCTCTGCAGGAACATGGACCTCGCTAACCAATGGCAGGACACTTCCTCAACGTGCATGACAGCCCCTTTTGGGTGACCACACCTCCTGGTGCTTCATTGCAGTAATATGAAACAGTCTGTGTGGTCAGCAGGCTGTTTCAGTGGTGAACTAAGTGACTGTGTGGAGTTGCCATGCGCCTCACAAAGTCAAGTCTTAAACAATCATAACGCCATAAATATAATCCTATAAGGTGGAGGATTATCTGATGTAGAAACATCCTGAGGGAACTTGGTGGGGAACTTCTTAGAACAGTTCATTAATCTTTTAGCTGAATGAAGTTTTCATTGTGTAGTAGTTTGTGACTGTCCCCCTCAGGCCATCACCATATTTATTTTTGTTGTTTTTCTTCAGTAGAGCATTAAAAAGGATTTTTAGCTGAAACTCTGACCCTTGGTGATTTATAAAATGCAAGTCAATTGCTACTGGCACTACACAACATACACCAAAACATACACAACAAAATAATTAATGTCTAATGTAGCAAAAAAAAAATAAAAAAAAAACTAATATCCATTGACTTGCTATTGATGAATCACTAAGAACCACAGTTTCAGCGGAAAAGAAAATCTTCTTTAATGTCTAATTTCCTCTCGAATGTACTTGTTATCCTCATTTCCTCAGTGAAAATAAAAAAATAGTTTTAATTGAACACTACATTAAGTGATAAAGTGCTTAATGGATTTCTGTTCATGAAAGTTTAATGAGAGTTTCCCAATGTTTGTTATACAGATCTGATAGCAGCACACTTCTGACTGATAGCACTAATACTTCTATTGACAGATGTCCAGCATGAGCATCAGTGTTTACATCCCTTCCTGGAACTGCATGCATGCACATCATAAATGATTGATTATCTGATCCCATTGTTCACAAGCCTTCTTGGTGTGAGCACAAACACATTTACTAGTGAAATACCTTTCTTACTATGAAAAAGAGTACAATAACATTCAAATAGTTGGAGTTGATAAGATTTTATCACAACATTTATCAATGCTACATTTAGTTGATTTAAAGTTGTAAAGCATAAACATTGTTCAATTTTATTTGAAATAAAATGTACTTTTCTTTCAAGTTTTAATTTAATTTATTTAGGGTAATTTATTCCTGTGATGGCAAAGAGTAATTTTTAGTATCATTATTTCATCTTGAATACCACACGGTCCTTCAGATATAACACTAACACTTGCTTGTTGATGTTGATCAGTCTTTTTCTATGCATTGCATATACATCAATTCAAATAAATTACTAGCATATATAAATACAATGAGCAAAAAGTTAAATAAAAAGTGTTTTCTGGTTTTCTGGAAAGTCTAACATATCAATCAAACATAAAATAACATGGTCATTGTATAAATAATCTAAAAATAAATATATTTAAATCTTTTAATCTTTAATAAATAATCTAACCCTGCGATGTAACTATTGTGATATTGATGCTCAAATGATATATTGTTCAGCCCTAATTTCAAAAATGTTGTTGTGCTTTTTTAAACTTAAAAAATATACGAAAACATCAATAACAATTACTTAAAATAGTTTGTTTGTAACATAAAACTCCCTTTTGGTCATGTTGATGTGTTTAAGAAAGCTTTTTAACTATTTCTGTAGTCGTGTATTTTTATATCTAGAAAACAGGCATTCTGCACAGAATCAGCATGCAAGTATAACATCATTCTATTTGTAAGTTAGAACTAAACAGTCAAAACTGTACACTTAATAGCATATTTTAAAATATCAATACCATGAGAATAAAAATGTCAGCCTTTCATTTTGATTTTGCTTAAATTATAGAAGAAAATGTTTTATGGATACTCCACCTCATTCCCATTATACTGTTTCTGGTGCTTGCTAACCAAAGGTCTGGACTTGTTATCTAATTAGACACTGAGGTAGCATCTATTTTTAGCTGTGTTGACGTCTTGTACTAGCCTAACGGTTTAGAGCGAAGGAAAATGACTGAACTTCAATTCTATGTAGAGTACAAGAAAAATCTAACTGCACTTTATTCATAAAAAAGGTACCTGTCTCTCTTTCCGCATGTTGAACTGCTGGATGAGGTGGTTCTGCTGCGGGAATCGGCCATCTCCTTCTTCACTGTGGACAGGCGTTCAGTGGACATGCTCTTCCTGACACACAGAAACCAAAGCTTGAGGAAGACAATGACTGAGGCACAATGCAGAGGGCAGGTGAGAAAGACATCAAAGAAACAGGAGGACAAAACAGGTCTTGGGCTAGGCAGAAAATATGACATCACACCACCTTAAAATGCATGTTTAATCTCAATTAACTTATGAACTTCATACATGTGTTTTTTTTTATTAATTTTTAATGAATGTTTTTTCCAAGAATCCATACATTGATCAATTGATAAGATTTCTATTCTAAATAAATACTGTTTTCCCCCAGTACTGGGTTGTCCACTGCGTAAAATATATGCCAGAGTAGTTCACAGTTCATTCCACTGTGGCGACCCCAGATAAATCAGAAACTAAGCTGAAGGAAAATAAAGGTGCAGTATGAAATTTTGACACCTCAGATCTTGAAGATAAAATAAACCGTTTGAAACTGAACTTAATAACTAAAGAGTGAGTGATTCAACATGTATATTTAATAATGTTAAAGAGGGTTAATAAGTATTATTTAGTTTATAAACCTTACCATTTTGTGAGTGAGTGCATATTCTGTGCTTCTGAATGGTTGTATTTAAATTTTGGTCATGTTTCGTCTGATGCAAACAGCCAAATTGTTGCGTAACTCATCACAAAACGTGTTGTTCGGACACACGGTTACAATGTAACCTGCTCACCAAATGTTTACATTTGTAATATTAATATAATTTGCTAATTAATAACCTCATGTGGAACTGAATCTGCGGGTCTGCAGCTGGATATTATTGTCTTATTATTGAGATTATTGATATCAATGTCAATAATTTATATTATTGACATTTCGGAGTCTGCTACTGTCCACCAGAGGTCACATTTCGGTCACGGATGCATGCTTTCAGAGCCTTTGTGAATGAATGAATGAATGGATGAATGAATTAAACACAAGGTTTTCCACCAAGGCAGCCTGGAGTGCCGAAATATAATTGGCTAAACTGGGACTGGGCAGACCAAAACAAAGACGGAAAACGCATTTTCAAAGCAGAATATCTGACTTCAACACTGTTTTTCAGATAAACAAGTTTGTTCACTTAGCATGTTACTTAAATATTTGCAGACATATTGTGGTAATTTATGCTTTAGTAGAGTCAAAAACTTACATACAGCATCTTTAATAAATGAATAAATACCGTTCTTTTATACTTTCTATTCATCAAATAATTCTAAAAGAAATGTAGCACAGTCTCTACAAAAAATCTAACAAGCGGATTTCAACATTAAAGCAATAGTTCACCCTAAAATAGAAATTGTCCCATAATTTACTCATACTCATGATGATAAGCCATGACTTTTTTCTGTCACACAGTTGGAGTAGTTTTAAATTTTATCCTGGCTCTATGTATAATGTTGAAGGATAGTGGCTTTTCAAACTAACCCATATGCAGAGGGTTAACGTATGTCTTATGAAGTGGATTTGACTGATGTGTTTTTGTAACAAAAATATTTCACATTTTAAAACTGACTTCGGATGAAATAAAAGAAGCAATTCATGTTATGCGTGACTGATCAATATGACGTACAGTATGACGCATGACTCATTGCAGAAGCTCTGGGAACAAATGCATCTCACTGGAACCACTTATCACACTGTATATTTACCACAAAAGACAACATCACACAAGAAAACTATTTAGCTTGGTGTTATTGTATAATGTTATACAGTAGTTTACTCACATAATGTGTCTTTCCATGTTCATGAGTCATACATCAGTCGCGTATTATGTGCAATCACCCACCACCAGAAGTTAGGGATTGGGGTTCATAATTTAAGAATTACATAAGTAAAAATTACATTACCCCCTCGAGACATTTGGGTTAGTTTTATGACAAATTTACACTATCCAAAACCACCATACAGTGTGGAAGTGCCGGGATAACATTTAAAACTACCCTGATTGTGTTCATCTGACAGAACAAAGTCATCTTATACACCATGGACGACTTCAGGGTGAGTATATTATGAGGCAATTTAATTTTTGGGGGGGAAATATTCCTTTAATAATAACAAAAATTCAATTTTAGTTGTAGTTTTTACGGTTTTAACTAGATTATTGGTAAAATGATGTATATCAATAAACTGATTAAGAGAACTGAAAAAGAGAAACGCATTTCAAAAACAAACAAATATTGCTGAAAAAAACATTTAAACAGTAGTTTACATTATTGAAAAGATTATCATACTAATGGTATGCTTATCTGAATACTGAGTACTGTTTTACACTATTATATAGTGGTGTGCAAATACTATGCAGTACTGTGTATACTGATATTGTAATACTAATATTTTGGAATTGCAAGCAGAACAATATGCCTAGTTTTATCATGTTTAAGAATTATATTAATCACCTTTAATCTTTAGCAAAGTAGTTAGCATTACAGGATATTACTGTCACTTGTATTATATTTCTATTTGAAACATGTTTATCAAATAATAATTATTGAACTTATTACACTGTTTTGCATTTTCAGTTCAGATTGGCCAGTCATTTTGAGACTGATAAGTGCTGCTAGATCACTTTTAACTTTCTAACAAACAAAAAGAACAGCATGAACATCAAATATTGGGTGAATTGACATATTTTCACATTTTATAGACTATCTCAGATTATGTCACTCTGGAAGTATGAAAAAACAACAGGCTGTTAATATTAATTATCAAATATTATGATTATTATTACAATGTACAAGAACGTACAGGTCATGTGAGTCATTACAGGCATAAATGTCTACAGCTCCTTGATTATGCAGATCCTTTATATCTCATATAATAGTTTATTACTCAATGCTGCCATCTTGAGGTAAAGAAATACCCTTGCACTTCAACATGTGTGAAATCTGTTTCAAGAAGGCTTGGAAATTTTCTTTTCATATAATCACTTTTTGCCTATAAAAATTATATATCTTGTTAATAGCTCTCACCTCTTGATAGACATCAGCACTTCCTTTTTTGGAGATGAGGGAGAGGAAGGAAAGCCGCTCAAGCGTTTTGTTTGCACATAGCCATTTGTCAGAGGCTTGGATGGCAGAGCTTGCAGTATCTGCCGAACTAAATCAGGAAGGAAAAAACAGTGAGATACTGTAACATGCAAATGTTTTTTTACCTCCCACATGGAAATTTTTATACAACCCCTACATGTGTATTAAAATACATTGTTGGTTGACATATCAGTTTATCTAGCTCACACGAAAAAGAAAACCCCTCTGCTAACATACTGTAATTTACAATTTTCAATCAGTAAAGAAATAATTTCAATCTAAATCAAACTTAATCTGCGGTTGCCACAGCGGAATGAACCGCCAACTTATTACACAGAAATGACAACTGACCCAGTCGAGGCTCGAACCAGAGACCTTTTTGCTGTGAGGCGATCATGCTACCCACTGTGCCAACATAACACCCTCAGCAAAGAAATCTTGAAGAATATTTACTCTCTTTTTTTTTATTAGAGTTCAAGTATTTATTGATAGAAACATATTCCAGTGGCAGTTACTATTTTTATAAGCTCTAATGATGTAATGAAAGCAACATAATGTCATGATGAAGCTCTGACCTTTAGTAGGTCCACTTTTCTTGTTGCTGGCTTGTGTGATCTCCTCACAGCAGCCCAGTCGTCTCAAAGCATCGGCCAGCGCCGCCTTTAGCAGCTGAATCTCATCCTCCTGCAGCTGCACCCTCTGCTCCAGGTGAGAGAGACGGTCGTCCATCTCCATCCCACTGCCGGCTGATACGTTATCATCTAAAATTGATCAACAACACACATTAACAGCTACAGTAAATCAGTAATCCAGCTGTAACGACAATGCAACTTTTTATTAATAGACTGATACATAAACATACAGTATACAGTAATTCGGAATTTTGTTTGCACACAGTTGAACTTTTTTTATTTATTTATTTATTTTTATTTTATTGATCTTTCAATTGGGTTAATTTAATTACTTGTTGATTTTTGTGTAAAATTTTTGACTTTATTAAAAATAATTATTTTAATATTCATTCTTTTTGTATCCCTTTTACTGCTCACTGGTTTGGTCCTCAGAGATATGATACAATATTTGTAAATAATAGCTTACAGTGGAAAGGAATTAATACAAAAAAAGTAACTCCTGTTATCGTAAAATTGAAAATACATTTAATTTTTTTCTTTTTTTTTATTTACATTTGAAAACTTAAGTCACATTTTAAAATTTCTTTTCCTAATAAAATATCAAAACCAGTGGATGAATTAGAGCATAAATAATTAGGAAACAATGGAAATATCATTCTAAATGAAGATAATCTGGGGTTACACTTTTAGAACACTTTTTGTTATGAATAAAATCTTCTCTTTTTTTGGTATTTTATTTACAGTATGTATCTATTCAAGAAAATCTAAAATATTTATTTGGCAAAAAACGTTTTCAATTACATTTTAAAAAATTCTGTCAGACTCAATAATCCCCTTTATCCATCGACTAAAATAGCACTGGATCCAACAATTAAAAATAAAATTCAGAAAGATGACCACAACTCTTCTCATGCTTTTTTTTTCTATTTTGGATATCTTAGAATCAACATGTGGAAAAATCTGTGATTAAATCGAGAGATTACAAAGGCATTAAAAAAAACAACAACAACAAAAACAACGACAACAACAATATACTGACACAAAACTTCAAACCACTTAAAAACAAAACTAATTGGAAAGCCGGACTGAATAAATGAGCAGTATTCAGAAGCTAACAATGCTGATTCACTGTGGCGGCCATCAGATGACTTCATTCAAATTTACGTCCTATAAATATATCCGGCAAACAAAACCACATTGAAAATCTCAAACAAATTTACATTGTTCCAACTATAGCTGGTCAAAAAAAAAAAGTACAATTAAATCACACTGCACATTAAAACACATTGCTCCTTGACTTTATCTCAGTCTCAAGGGCAATGCATCAGTAAATGTGCATATTCAATAAACCCTCATTTAATACACAAGCAGATAAAAGCAGCATCAGCAGGTGGCAAGCATCAAACAATAAAAGTGAAAAAAAAAATTTGCAAGGTGAGAAGAACGCCGGATGAAGCTACTAGTGATGCTGGAAGACAAAAGCAGTGTGGAGGAAACCGGATGCTAGCAGTTAACCTAACATGCTGAAATATTCATCATCCCGTTCTGCTTGCATTCTCCTCCTACCTGCCATTCCAGTCAGAACTACTGTGTATGTCCGCCTGTCAGTCAGCCGCCCGAACAGCCTGATCCTTTACAGGTCTCTAAGGGCTTCCCTAAAGGTGCCAAACGCCTCCCTGGCCAAAGATTTTTCCTCTTGGCTTTGCTGGACGGATGATCCCGTGTCTGGACGTTCTTCCTCCCCCTCCCCCACCCTCAGTGCTAAAGAGGAGAAGGGTGATGTTTGTAACAGGACGCTGTTCTCCGTTTCTATGCGGTAGAAAACTGCTGGTGGTGCTGCTGTTGTAAAGAGAGCTTTGGCTTGATTCCAGACCTGTCAGACGCATCGGCCAGGCACTACCAGGAAGTGCACTGACCAATGGGACACTGAAGTGTGTATGTGCATTTGACATTTTTACGACTTGTTGTTTTATACCTCTAGGATGCATACTCATTTTATTATCAATAAATGGCACTTTGGGGGGTTTTGAAGTGCTTTGACCTCAGATATTTACATTGAGTATTTAAAGCAGCTCAATGTTACTGTAATGTGGAAAGACACCCTGTCTGACCCGGTCTCATCCTATACTGTCTACCCATCCATCTGTCGTTCAGCCAAACCATCTGTCGCAGAAACTGACCTGCTGGAAAACCCAAACAATGGTCACGATGTACACCGATACCTGTCACTGAGAGAACCTGTTATTTACAGGAACTGGTCAAACAATTGCTTCTAAATGACAACAGCAACAAGACGTTGCTTGTAGGAAGATGGCATATAATTATAATATCAAGTAACCTAACAAAACACTTTCAGTGATTTAAGAAAATAAATGATATAACATGGTAGATGTTTTTGAATAATTTTTTTTATTGTGCTTTCTCTTTTTCTTTCTTTCTTTCTTTCTCTCTTTCTTCATTCATATAAAATAAAATATAATTAAATGTGGTATAATAAAATAAATTCATATTTAATATTTATAAATAAATATGGTATAAAAAATAAATATGTATTTAATGATTTTAAATATAATACATTTCTTATACTTTAAAATATATGCTATAAAGTACTTTGCTATTCTATCTGCATGTAAATTTCTGTTATTACACTAAAGTATAAATAAATAATATGAAATATTGTGTATAATAGTTATACACATCATTATAATAGTATAATGTTAATGAGGCATTTTAATTGTGCTTGTTTTGTTTTATTTTATTTTATTCATTCATTCATTCATTTTATTAAATCATATATCAATACATTTGATTTTATTGCAATAAAAATACTGTATAATAATATAGAACATTTTAATAATATTAAGTATATTAGAATCATTTATTTATAAATTTCTATTAAACATTTGCAGGCGCTTTCTGTTCTTTAAAAAAAATTATACTTCATAATGATCGCCTCAACAGGCTTTATGCACAGCTAGTGTTTTTCAGCCAATGATAAATTTCTTGTGAAAGCTTAATGTGACTATTTTCAATTTCATAAGGTTCCTTTTACAGCATCAATGTTGTAATGTAATTACAATACACTCAGTTAAATAAACTTAAGCATTCATTTAGTTGTTCAACCATAAAACAAGATGATAGATCATGTAACCACAAGCATCATCAGGATCAGCAGGTTAACAGAGAAACTTCTTTGACAACGCAAGATAAAAAAAACTATCATATTTTAAAGACATATTTTAATGCAGTGCTTCTTATTTAATGCAGTGCTTAAATAAGAATATTATTTAATGCAGTGCTTCTTGTTTGGTCTGAGACCCACCTTATATTGTATATCTAACAGGCAGTGAAGATAGCTGTTTTTTAAAGAAATTAGACCTTAAACGTGGCAATTTTATAATGAAAAGACAGTTCACCGGAAGAGCTGAATACATATACCACACTGGTTCTGACACAAATTCGGTTCTGCAATACTAGTGAAAATAAATAAAATTAATTTAACTAGCCATGAAAATAACAAAATGATAAATAGAAATAATAAAATACAATCAAGCATATAATCATGCAGCTAGAAAAAGCAAAATCAATAGGCTTATCATGTCTAGCAGGGAGAGTCTTATCTTATAAATGTTGTTGAGGTCAAAGGCTGTGTGTTTAAACAAACACACGTAATGATATTTGATGCACATTAGTCTTTTGACAAACCAACTAATTATTACTGCTAAATTAAATTTCTGCTGTTGTTTACACTTTAAAAAGGGTGTAAAATTTAGTTGCTGGAGGGTGAAAGACCAGCAGAGTTTACTTCCAACCCTGCTCCCAAACACTTACCTGTTGATTTCAAACAAGCCTGAAGGGTTTGGTTAGATTGATCAGGTGTGTTTAATTAAGGTTAATGCTAATTTCTGAAGGCCAGCTGCCTCCAAACTTCACTTCAGATCTAATCAACAGAACTTAGGCAAAAAGGTAAAAAGATGTCAAAAATGTCTGCATTAAAGTTGGGGATTTTTATATTTTCTACCGTGTGTCATATATATATATATATATATATGACACACGGTAGAATATATAAAAATCCCCAACTTTAATGCAGACATTTTTGACATCTTTTTACCTTTTTGCCTAAGTTCTGTTGATTAGATTTTAATTTTTATTTAATATATACATTTTTGAATACAGATGTGTAATATTTGTCATAATGCTGCTGACAATATTATGTTTTTTTTGTTGTGTTTTTACTTTAGGGAGACACTGTTGGCCAGATAAACCCATCTAAATAGCTTGGTAATGTTATACATTGGATTACTAGGTCACAATAAATAAGTAACTCAGTGCATTATTTCCATTTAAAACCTGCACGGCTGAAAATCAAACAACAAAGGCCCAATGAAGCAAACTGAATCAGTTTTATGAGAGGCTCATATTAACAGATGAATAAGAAAATGAATAGAAATGTAACAACATAATTGTCTTTAACACCTTTCCAGAGACTACTGTATGTTCTCACACCAACACAGAGATCGCAGACGCACAGCATATAATTAGCGATAAGAAAATGTTTCAGGGACGAATTAAATTTGCATGCAGGCTATATAAAACTGATGAGTAATTTAAATATCTTCCTCACAGAAAACACAACAGACAGTAGTTTCTTTTGTTATTGTGCCCTGGCAGGCAGTGACGCACACTGACACGTCAAAATAACGTTAGGGAATTTCTGGAAAACTGATATGAAAGACAAAAATAGCGTACACGTTTGTAATACGTGACGAAAACAAACCATGTCGCGGCATTCAATATAAATGTGCTGTCTAACTTACCGTTGCAGTACCGAAGCAGAAGGGTGTTCGTGTCGTACAGGTTCCCACATGAGGCTACTCGCTCCGACATGTCCTTCTTCTGAGCAAATCCTTTATTATTTCTCCCTATTTTAAAACGCCTGTCCTCAAATCCGTCTTCCCACTTTTCTGACATACAGTACGAGTGAACCTTCTACACCTTTCCGCCGACGACAACCTGTACTGCCTGCGTTTCTATAGCAACAGCCTCACCGCTCATCTGCTACCCAGAGGGAACAAGACAGCATGTTTACGTTACTCTCTGAGTCCCATAATAAAATAAGAGGCGCCGCTACTTTTACTATGAGCACAATGTGCATATTTATTCAGATATGACACACTGCTTAGGCAAATTATCAAGTCCTTAGGACAAAGGCCACATCAAGATATGTGAGTATTTTGCACGGGCATATAGGAGCTTAACAGATTATTGTTGCCTGGTGTAACAGGTGTAGAGATATTTATCTCGGAAATTTCCTGCTGTCATAATGTTGACAGTCAAGATTCTGTTAGTTCTGCTATTTAACAGTAGATGGCAGTGTAGGTCTGATTAAAGCGACATCAAGCTTTAAATGTTTCTACAATTAGAGATCAACCAACAATTTTCTTAAAGTCGAGGTCACTGTTAGTTGTATTAAGGTTAGTTTTTAAAGAATATTTCATGAGCTATATGTAACCCTGGGATAAAAAACTGTCTTTTTTTATTAAGATTTATAGCCTACATCTGAATAAATAAGTTTCTGTTGACATATGATAATTTTTGGATTGTATCATGGTTGTACTATGGATTGTTATAGTTGTATTATAAGATACAACTATTTGAAAATCAGGAATGTCTGTTTTCAAAATAATCTAAATGCTGATAAAATTGCTATTAAAGTTGTCAGAATTAATCTCTTAGCAATCCATAGGCAATTAGATATTAAAAAATTAATATTATATTAAGATATTAAATAATTATTATTTCTATATCTAAAGTTTTAATATATTTATCATTGTAGGAAACATATAAACTATTAGCTTTGAACATGATCTTTACTAGTTCGGCATTTAAAATAACTAAAATGTAATTATATAATGTGTATTTGCTTATTGTATAAAAAAAATATCTTTCCGAGAACTATTTTAGATTCCTGGTAATATGGATGGACTTGGTATTACTTTTCTTAGTTATCTTTTAAACCCTATTAAAAGCACGTCTTGCAAGATGCACATCATGTTTTGCCAAGTATGGGATCCTGGATTAACATCTATGTTAATTTGGAACATCATTTTTGTTGGAAAATCTAACCCATACCTATTGTCTACCCCTAAACCCAACCACAACTGTAAATTCCCAAAATCCCTAAAATATTGGGGTATTCCCAAAATTATGTAGAAGTTTATAAACCTAACCGTAAACCTAAATTTAACATAAACTGAAATCGTATCGCTTAATTAAAGACTGGCTAATTGTAATGTTGTTCCAGGATCAACATAGATGATAATCTGAGAACATGTCCTACTTGGGGAAATCAGGTTGGCGTTTACAAGATGGTACGACATCCTATCAGATCTCACCATGCAGTCTCTCCACATTCAAGAGCATTTGCACTAAAAGACATATGGTTGCAGCCTTTATGATGCAAGCTGAGATTGCAGAAACAAATTCGAAGGCTACTAACCTTTGCATGTTGTGTTGACAGAGGAGCGGTCTAAAGTTCACTTTAGTAATAAAAAAAATAAATTTATGTGAACCGTAATATGGTTTTTTGATTACATAATCAATTTAGATGTCAAAATCCCTCTGCACTTCAGCTTCTCACCAGATTTTCTGTCTAGTCTAATGCTTTCTAGATTCTGAAGTGTCCAGACCCCTGTAGTATATAGCTGTGACAGAAATCAGTCAGCTGTTCACACAATTACTGTTTTCTATATGTTGAATGGCATATTG